TTTTAAAAATTATTATCAATTTTAATGAAAATTTAGAGATACTTTGGATTTCCATTCATTCGTTGTTGCACTTTCCTCCCTGCCACCCCTCCTCCTTGGTTCTCTTTGAAAATTAAAAGAAAAATTATTTCATTGTTATACAATCCCTCCCCTTAAGTCCACTCCACTATGCAGCCTTCATTCTGGACTCCTGTCATGACAATACTACAAGATCACATATCCCTCTTAAACAGTTCTCTCCCTCATCTGTTTCAATTCAGTATGCATAATTTATCCCATCTTTCTTAGTCTCCCCTCTCCATGTCAGTCCCATTTTACAACAGTGGAACTATGCAGTTACTATCCTTTTATGATTGAGATATTTCACTCAGCATAATTCCTCTAGTGTCACCCATTTTGAATAATATTGAGTTCTTGTTTTTCAATACAGCATAGTATTCCATTATATGAATATACCACAACTTCTCTATCCATTCATTTGTTCATGGGCACTTAGGTTGTTTCCAACTCTTTGCTATTGTGAATAAAGCACCAATAAACATAGGTTTGCATATATCTGCTTAGGTGGCGGTTATGGTTTCTTTGGGGTATATTACCAGTAGGGGAATTGCTGAGTCGAATAGTATTTCTATTTGCAACTTTTTGAGAGAGCGCCATAAAGCCTTCCATAGTGGCTGCACCATTTAACACTCCCACCAACAGTGATAAGGGTTCCAGTTTCTCCACAACCTTGCCCACATTTGTTGTTTGCTGTTCTGTTAAATTTTGCTATTCTTACTGGGGTGAGATGGCATCTCATAGTTGTTTTGATTTGCATCTCTCTTAGAGCTAGGGATTTTGAACATTTCTTCATGTGCTTGTTAGCCATCTGAATGTCTTCTTTGGTGAAGAGTCTGTTCATATCCTGTGCCCATTTTTCAATTGGGTTGTTTACCTTTATCTTGCTGTGGTGCTGGAGCATTTTATAAATTCTAGCTATAAGTCCCTTGTCTGACATGTCATTACCAAACATTTTTTCCCAATCTGTCACTTCCCTTTTTACGCTTTTGGAGAAGTTTTTGGATATGCATAGGCATTTGATTCTTCGAAGGTCTCCTTTATCTATTTTATCTCCTGATTGTAGAGATTCCCATTCTTGTCAGAGTCAGCCACAGTTTGTTGTGATCCACACAGTCAAATGCCTTTGCAAAGTCAATGAAACACAGACAGACATTAATAGGAGGTTGAAATGGTTTGAAGGCAACGAACAACAAAACCAGCGTGTACTAAAAGAGTGTCCAAAATACCAACTTACGGTTACATATATACACACCAACACATGCATTCACTAACTAACACTTAAACATCTCCCTTAGTTGGCACTGAATAAGAACAGATGATACTTTACCAGTATTACATTTAGCTGAAGAATTAGTTATGAACTATGTATAAAGTCGAGTCTAATAATACACATGCTTTTCTTTGTTATAGGGACGATGAATATTTTATTGAAGACACACCAATTTATGGTAACTTAGATAATGTAGCCCCAGGTAAGTTTCACTTTTTTCATAAATTAAATTAATATATTAAACAATAACATATGCTATTCCATAACATATACTTTTAAGGTGAGTCACCATAATCACATTTGTATGTCCCAGTGGTAACCGAACATTCAAAAGGAATTTGTTTACTTTGTGCTTCCAAAACTGTATATTGTAAAATGTACTTCAGTATTCAGTATAAATCAACATCCTGTTTTTTTATATTATCATTATTTCACCCCAGCAGCGGTAAGAATACAGGAAGACTCGATTATCATGAATTCTGGAACACAGAATTCTATGAAAGCTATTTCTAGAGCAGAAAATAGTCCATAGAAACAGTGGTTTGTATACAAAAGCAAATAATCTGAAACAATGAACACTTTCTCTGTGATTTTCATGGCCTTCAGACGTTTTTTCTAAGCAGAAATTCTAGGGCTGGGTAGATGGTAGGTGGCAGGAAAGAAGAGCACTAAGTAATCACTTGGTGATTTAAACAAGTTTTGTTCTCATGTAGTAAGTACTCTTCAATTCTTAGCATGCTCTGTTACTTGAAACCTCCCAAGCAACTAAAACCAAAATACCTCGAAATTCCGTAGAACACACAACCCTGCTTAGGTGCCACAGCTCTGATGAGAGAAGCTTCTAGAATGAGGCCTGGGGTGGGTTTTGTTTTTTTTTAACCTATTTCCCTGCAAGTGCTAATCTGCCCCTAAATCATGACAGGGTATTTGGAATTTACTCCTGTCAATCTCTAGCTCTCACACTCAGGGTCTCCCAGTGATGTACTAACTTTATCTGAATATCTCTACATCAAAGCAGTAAGAAATTCTACCTGTGGGAACTTTATAGGGTCCAGAATTTATTGAATCTTGTCTATCTTTCCTTTCACTCTCTTATAAAGAGGAAATCTTTACATAGATCTCTGAAGCTAAATAATCAGACACTATTTTCAGCAACATGCTATTAAAATGACTATAACAAAAAAAAAAGACTATAACAATGGGTTTAAGGAGAGCAGAAATTCTAACAATGGTGCACGACCAGGCAGAGATTTCTTCTTTTGTACATGGGGATGCTATCAGTTGCAGTCAACTTGACATCACCTTAGCATCTAAACCAACTATCAAAAAAAACACAACATATACTCTTGTTACACCTTGCAGAATAGAGATGTTGGCTTGTAATATTTGAGGACTTGCCCTTTTTATATATTTTAATCATTCAAGGAACCCCATAACTGTGAGGACTTGAATATCGCATGTTTTTTTTGTGCCTATGTATCTTTTATTTTCCATTTCCAAATGGGTGCGATTGAAACCCCTCGGCTCCTAATTTGTTGTTGTTAGGTGCATAATGCTGTTGTTAGTTGCCACTTTGTGCATTCTGACTTATGGTAAGCCCATTTGTGCAAAGCAGACCTTATTCCATACTGTTTTCAATGCTGTCATCTTTGGGAAGTTGATCACCAGGACTGTTTTCAGAGGCTCCTGGAGTGGGTTCCGCCTACAATCTAGTGTCCAGGAATCTGATATTTAACAAACCTCTGGGTGATTCTGGTTCAGTTTTTCCAAGGACCACATTTTGAGGAAATACTACTCCATGGGCCTTTATTCTGCAGTATTGTTCAAAAAGAGTTGAAACTGTTTTTATTTCTTTATAGAATCACATTAGTACAGCCCACTTTTCTACCAAGATATTGATCATCCTGGGAATCACTACTCCTTTTTCTTCGCTTTTAAGTGGGAAAATTAGGGGCAGAAAAACATTACTAGATTCTTAAAACTGTTACATGATGAAGTGACTGCAGGTCTCCTAACTCTTGGCCTCTGCTCCAAAGTCTTAAATATTAAAGCTCTCTTTCTCACCGACCCAAACCAAGCCACCCTGTCCTTCTACTACAGGACAAAATCATAATCTAAATTCTTTTTCCCCCAAAATAAGATGTAGAGTTTAAAATGTTTCTTGGAAAAAGAAAATCTTTTTTACACATAGAAAAAAAAATCACCAAATTTTAATAATTATGTATCAATTTACACCATACTGCATGCATGCTACATTGGCCATCACATATACATACATACCTAAATAGCAAACAACACGGGTATCCTTTTAAGGTGATCATGGGTTTTCTGTGACATTTAATGGTGTGGGTGTTATTATGTGAAGGTACTATATTTCTAGATATGAGTGGACAATTAATCTGATGAAGTCTTTATCTCAAACTACTTTTTAATCTTCTTTATACTGGGTTCCCAAAGACTTCCCCAGTTTCAGACCTGCAAAGAAGAGTTTGGACTTCCCCCTCTCTCTTGAGGATAAGGTCTCAAATATACAGCAAAGTGTTGTTTGGGTGGTATATTTCTTCTTGCTCACATCTTCATTGTCTCATTGTAAAATCACAATGTCTTCAACTCCCAAGAACCAACAGATGAAAACTGCTATGAACAAATGAAAGCCAGACCAGAGAGATCCACGAGTAAACTGCAAGTAAAACATGTACGTTTTAATTTCTGTTTTAAGGTTCAAATTCAGCCAACACACAACCATGTTTCAAGGGCATAAAAGCATCACATTCTGGTGCACATCTGATGCTGCAATCTGTGAAAAGTTTCATGTGTGTGAACCAGGTATCAACTTGTGGGATTTGAATTCTAAAGATGTGTTCTATTGCAAGTAAAAGCAGGACCACATTTGAGGAGTCTAAACTGTCTATCTTTAATAAAGAAATAGTTTGAAAGGGAGGAGAGAGTTCTATTCTTCTATTCTCCGATAATGAGCTAAGCCATCATAGACAAATTTAAGAATCAAAACTATATAATGTTCACAAAACCTAGGAATTTGTGACAGAGAGAGAAGGGAAGGGGAGAGCAGAGCAGAGGATAAAAGAGAGAAAAAAGAGAGGAGGAAAGTTATACAAGAAATTTCCTAAAAAGGCTTCACTCACACTCCTTGCTGCCGAGGTGGCACTAACTCATAGCTGAGCCTATCCTGGTTTTGGGAGATCATAAATGGCACAGGAGATTATTGGTCTTTCTCCCACAAAGCTACTGGAGGATGCTGACCACCAGAAAGAAGCCACCTTGGGGTTAGCAACTCAGCTCCCTACACCAACCAGAGCTGGACAGAAAGTATAAGATTTCTATTGTGCAAGACAAATAGATATAAACTTTATTATTAATCCTATGTCTTATAAAAAGAGCTTGTGAATTAAACACACAGCTTGTATGGGGGGAAAAACCCAACTGCTGTTGAGTTCATTTGGACTCCTAGCAATGTTGTGTCTGTCAGAGTAGACTTCTATCCCATAAAGGCCCAACTGGTTTTTCAGAAATAAATCACCAAGCCTTTCTCTAGAGATGGCTTTGGGTAGACAGAGAACACCAATCTTAGCAGCTCAACACATTAACCAGAGACTTTTGTGTGGGAGTAGGCAAGACTAGTTTACATTTCTCTGAGGAAATGTAAATTGATATATAATATATATCAAGTATCATGTATTATCTATTATCTATTATATATAAAACCTCAAAAGGAAAGGCATAGTATCTTTGTTTCATACCCCATTCATTCAAGCCCTTTAGACAATAGGACATATTTCATTAACTCCAACACCAAACCAAAATAAAAACCTAACTTAAAGTGGATTGATTCCTCAATAATGCTAACCCTCTATAAATTGCCTGAAGCTGTAAATCGTAGTGGAGAAAAGAATGCCTCTTCAATGCCTCTTCTTTCTATTATGGAGTAGCTGTTGTTGCTATGTGCCCTCAGATTGGAACCAACTCATAGCTGACCCTCCAACATATTTGTAGAGGTTATAAATCATGTAAGAGCAGGTTCTCCATTGTTCCCTGTAGTGCAGCTGGTGGATTTTAACTGCCTGCCTTTGGTTTGGCAACTCAACTCCTTATCACTAGGCCAACAGAGCTCCATTATGGAGCACATGATGTGTTAGAATTGGCAACTTCGATTAGTAGCCTAACATTTAACCCATTATAACCCCAGGATTTCTTAATTTTACAAAAAATTCCAAAATCCTTAGCCTATTTGCTACTGATATAGTATTAGTTTCATTTAATTTTTTCTTTCCCCTTTCTACCCAAATATTAACCTTTGATTTATGTTTTTTATCTCTACTACATAACTGATAATAGAACCAACATTTCCTGAGTAGTCATTGTATGCAGTCATCGTATTGTGGGCTTCATATATGCAATCTCGTTTGATTTTTATAGTCAGGCAGCATTATTATTCCTACTTTATAGAGTTTTACAAAGGAGCCACTCAACTGGTGATGTAATCTATAGTGAGTTGCTCTGGTTGCCCAAAGGCAGTATGTGTCTCTGGTAACTAGAATCTACCAGCAGTTCCTTGGCAGCAAAATGGGTTGTCTTCTCTTGTTATAATTGACGGCCTAGAAAACCTTAGAGATGGGTTGCTTTGAGTCAAAACTCACTTCATGACTGTGAGCTTAGGGCTTTATTTTGCTTTGTCTGGTTTTAGAAAGGAAGGATTAATAACTTCCTCTACAAAATGCAGGTACTATGTGGGGAAACAGAATCCAAACTTAGTCCTGTCTTTTTTCAATTAATATTCTCCTTCCAAGAGATGTGTCACACCATGGAAATTTCTCATTAAGATAAATTTTTCTTCTTTATGTGAACCCCTTAACAAATTAGACCTCTTTATTTTTCCCCCCTTAAAAAATCCAGATGAGGTGAGATTTAGGCAAAATGTCAAGTTACTCTCTGACAAGCAAATCCATGGTTTATTGTGGAGTTAATTATAAAATGTATTTTCAGAGAAAATGTATGAAAAACTGAATCATGTAATATGATCAGCTAAATCTATTTCCCAAAGTTATTTATATATATATATTTTATATTATATATATATTATACACACACAGTATTCAAAATGTAGAGATTTACAGCGTCATAGTGGTAAAGGAACTCAGAATTCTGAAAAGAAGCTATTGTTTAATATATATTCATTATATGGACTAGCTTGAGTTGGGCTGTGCCAGATTGTTAGTCAAGTATAAATTATGCAAAACCTTAAAAGGTTTTTTAAAAAGTCTTTGATTATAAAAATCATATATTTAAAGAAGAAACTAAATAAATAGAATTTTATCCTTTTATATCTCCCTCACAAATTGAGTTTTAATTAAAATTAACTTAAAATGGTATGTTTGAGAAGTTGAAATTTTTATCTTAGACTACTATGAATTGGAATTAATCAGGGATTTTTCACAGGGCTTTCAATAACCAATTTTTCAGAAGTGTGCCTCCAGGTGGATTTGAACCTTCAACCTTCAATGACCAGCTGAGTGCATTAACTATATGTACCACCCAGGGAATTATCATGTAATTATCTCTGCTTGAATCACATATGGGCAAGGGTAATGGATGTTGTAACTGGTCCAGGTCCCTTGCCTAATTCTCTCTAGATTGGAGTTACAAACATTGTTACTGAAAGCCTTTCTAGGGTCATTCAAAAAGGAGAAATTTCCCAGAGAAAAGGACATATTGAAAGAAAGAAGGATGGATGTATATGCAAGGCAAGAAAGTGATCATTATGTTGTTCTGAGTGTCTTCTAGTTAGTCACTAACATCTATTTCTGAGACAAGGGAAAACAGATAAAAGTACAAGGTTGTTGTTGTTTAATGCCATTGAGTCGTAGATGACTCAGCGACCCTATGAATGAACAGCCTGAGCACCGTTCATACATAGAGTTTCCAGAGGCAAGCCATTTCAGAAGTGGATACCACTCCTGCTTCCAGGCTTGATTTAGTCGAGAAGCTCCAGCCAACACTGTCCACCATGGGTGCCCATTACCATGATTGGCACATCACTGTCAGAGTCTTCAGCATCACAGCAACCATGAGTTACCTCTGTACAGCAACGCACAGACCAGTGCTATACCACCTAGAAGAATGTTTGACAGGAAGACAATTTGAACCTGTCCCAGGGCCGCAGGCCCGAGGACCCTTTGGGCTTAAGGCCGCCTCCTGGCTCAAACTCTAGGCCCAGGCTGGCTAGCCTCACTCCAGGGACAGAGCAAACCTGCACGTCAAACACATTCCCGAAAAAGCAGTCGACTCCAAAAGCTTGCCACGATTCCTGCACTCCCACCACCATGCTCCTTCCTTCTGGCAAGGAGAGCTTCCCAAGAGCCTGGGAGCCTGGGAGGAGCCAGCCAAAACCAGGAACAACACAGCCGCTTCTTTCCCAGCTGCCTTGGGCTTACATTAGAGAGGTCCCTAACAGCAGACTTTCCTATCACAATACGTTTTTTGATTTCCTGGCTGCTAGTGCCAAGAGTGTTGACTGTGGAGCCGAGCAAACTGCAGCTGTGAACAATCTCAATCTCTTCGCCATCCATCCTGATGCTACCAATTGGTCCAGTGGTGAGAATCTTTGTTTTCTTG